CCTGCTGCAAAACCTCAGGAGACTGGCTTTCAGTCAATTAAGCAGAGGTTTAAATCCAGGAGGCCTACAGAATTCCAGTACTTTGTATGCTACATAACAGAGCTGAAAAATGGTCCAGACCTCCTGAAGAGGAAATCTTTGAGTCGACTGGCAGCCTTGGGGCCTTTTTGCACAGTCACAGCAGGCCCCGATCACATTTCAGACTTTGCATGAAAGCTCCATGCTTTTTCAAAGCCAATCACGCCGCTTCCTGCCAGCATATAACTGACGGAGGCGGATAGCCTTGCAAAAGGTGAGGTGGACAACCATGCTACCTTTTGCCCCTCTTTATTAAAAAAATAAAAAGGGTGATTAGATGTGTGCTGTGGCACACAAAGAATCAAAGTACAAATTTAGAAATGGCAGCGCTTGGGAAGGAGAGTCTCAACCTCTTTTTTTGGGGCCGCTATAAAAATATGTCTAGGGTTAGGGCTGCTGGAGAATGCAACCTGCTCTGTTTGGGCAAGGAGGCCCTATATGAGAAAGTGCCTATATGGGAAAGTGGACAAGTACTGGATTTGGACTGCATGGTGTTGACAGCTTCCTCCCTTGAGGCCTCTACTGCTTCCTTCAGCAGCCGCCCTGATCCATGCTGTGCAGGCTGAGACTTGAACAAAAGGCTCTGAGCACTCTTGTGCGGTGACATCACTCACATGTCCGAGGGCCTATCCACAAAAGTAGAACGAGCCTCAAGACCCCTGCCTCAGAAAGGGTCCCCCGCTCTCTTTCCTGATTCGGGAATTATCCTTTACATTTCCTCCACGGGAAAAGATGGAATCCGAATGAGTAAAGCCATGTTCAGTAGAAGCCAAATCTTTGTTCCGTTGACCATGGTCAAGGAAAGTATCTGTCCCTACAAAAGCTCAAGGCGCTGACGACTTTACAGAGAAAAGCACAAGCATATATAGGCAAACGGATATCAGGATCTTGCAGAACCGGTACACCAATTTAGGTTATCACAGATGGTAGCCTGACCTGTCCAGCAATTCCCAGTCCTCTCCACCCCAGCGGTCCCGGAACTCTTCCGTGTTCATCCCTCCAATACGATCAAAGTCAGACTTGTAGATCCCAAAGAGGCCAAAGCCATTCACTTCCCAATAGCCTGATAAAAGATGAACTAAGAATGAGTCCTGATCCTGGATCCTGAAGGGTAAGAAGGCAGAGACCTGATCTCCCTCCCACTGTGCTATCCACAGAAGCCAGCCTGTCCTCTACTGGCTGCAAAAGACATTGTCTTGTGCATACATTAAATAACGTTGAAACTAGGTAGTGAACGACGACACAGAATTAACACAGAATTCTGCATGAAACTGATCCCCTCCCCACGTTACCTCCTGATCTTTCGGATTCAGTTAGTTCCTCATTACCAAATATGCAGAATTCCTCTTTCTCTCTTGTTTGCTAGCAAATTCAATGTTGCTTATCTCTGTGTGTGTGGGCATGTGCACCTGTGCACATTTGCATTTTCATTTATTATAATCTCAACTGTGGGCCTCTTAGAGGCAACGGGACCAAAACAGCTAGACTCCAGCAGGAACTTCCTGATATTTTACAAGTTATATTTCTGCATAAGAGATTCAGTACCAAGGGACATCAGTAGTTTTGTCGTTCAGTTGCACAGTCGAGTCCGACTCTTCGCGACCCCATGGACCAGATCACGCCAGGCCCTCCTGTCTTCCGCTGTCCTCATCAGTAGTAGCAGAAGGAAAAATAAGTGCATAAGTTGTTTTGGCTCTCAGCCCATGACTTGTAGCCTGTAGCTGTGAGTCAGCTGTCCAGTAGACTTAGGACCAGTGTACCCTCTAAGCTGAGTCAGTGTGAGCTAGCTCACAGGTTTTTAGCCTCCGGCTCACACATTTTTGCCTTAGCTCAGGGAGGAGGGCTCTAGAGCAAACTAATTTATGCAGCAGCCAAATGGCTCACTTACAACTTTACTGCCAGCAGCCCACAAAGCAGGATTTTTGCTCACAAGACCCAACAGCTTAGAGGGAGCATCCGTTAGGACCAACCCAGGAGTTTGTGTTGGATATTTTTTTGTTCACATATAAAATATTTCAGGTTTCTTTTAAAAATGATTTAAATTCTTTATTACAAACCAAATTCCCAAACAGAAAGAAATAAACAATATCAAAATATAATAATGATGGCAAGTCTACAGATAAACATCTGTATAAAGGTTTCCAAATATTTAAAAATACGTCCGTGCACAATGGTCATCTATATGCCATGTGTTCAAATGTTAATAAAGTCAAAAGGTCCTCAATCCATTGGATTACTGGAGGTGGGCATTTATCTTTCCAGTACAGTAATATAAGTCTTTTAGCAACAGTAAGAGCATGGGGGTGGGGTCTATTTTCACTGACTATCAGTTAGTCTCCAGGAGACAGGCAAATAGTTTAAAAGTACATAAGCATCCTCAAAAATTAATTAATATTCTAATACAAAATTGATATGAGTAATGACTTCCTCCCAAAAAGACTGAATAACTGGACAGACCCAAAGCATATGTTTAAGAGATGCCAGCAGCGCCAGCAATTAAACAGTTCTTTACTAAAAAGGGGCTATTGTGGTGTGCAGTATATCCTGAACATAATTTTTTGCTGAATAAATCACAGCTTGAGGTCCACAGAAACAACAAAGTATAAGATTTAGGGCCATATCCCATTGCTTTGGCAGAACAGGGTGGTCTAGCTCCTCGTTCCATTGATTTCTGAGACTTTGCATATCATATTTATTAATCAACAGCAAATATTAATAAACAGATGTAAGTTTCGTTTTCTGCACTGATTTTTCAGGTTTTCTTGTAAGCTGCTTTGGATCCCCAAAGAGGAGGAACGCAGAGCTATTCTTGGGCAGGAACGCACAGGAACGGAGTTCCGGCTGGCTCCCAAGTTGGCTACGCCTAGCAGGAACTCATTAGCATAATAGGCCACACCCAACATCAGAAACTCATTAGGATTGGCTACATTAGGGGTGTGTGGCCTAGCATGCAAAGGAGTTCCTGCTACAAAAAAAGGCCCTGGGTCTTGACTTCTGGTAACATGGGGGTGCAGCCTAATGTGCTAATGAGCTGTGCTGTCAGGGGTGTGGCCCAATATGCTAATGAGTTCCTGCTGTTGGGTGTGGCCTATTATGCTAATGAGTTCCTGCTGGGCTTTTTCTACAAAAAGAGCCCTGGAGAAAAGGAACATATAAATGCCTAACTGAACAAGTAACGCCCCGTGCGGATTCAGGAAAGCTTACAAATGGAGGGAGGGAGATCCTGTTGCTTGAAGGAGCAGAGGCCGTCTAGGCCAGGTAGGGTTGCCAGGTTAGTTACCTCTTTTAGCGGGGGAGGGGTGGTCCCATTCCGGGACATTCACCCTGACGACGTCGCCTGGAAGTGACGGGCCCAGCGTGATAATGCCACTTCCAGGCGACGGCATCACGCTGAGCACATCGGCCCAATGTGGCCACTTCGGGGGGAGGGTCCCCCTGCCGGCTGAATCCTGGACCAGCGGATTGGGGCCCCTTTAAGCGGGGGAACCCCCGCCCCCCAGGAGCACCTGGCAACCCTAAGGCCAGGGAAATCTGCTATTTTCCTAGAACTTAGAATCTTGAGATTTTTTTTAAAGAAAGAATTTGTTTGTAGTGGTTTTTTTTAGAGATGCCCTGACAGTCAAAGGTGTATATGTGTGGAATGTAAAACCAGGCTTTTAGTGAGCGGAGCTTCAAAATCCAGCATAACTCCTCCCTATGGCCAGGAGGATTAATTATGCAGAAAAATCATATAAACTGTCAGGTTTATACAGGCTCCAGAATTCACCCTTCTTGGCATATCCTGGGTGTGTGTTTGTAACATAATTAGCAGGAAACACACAAGTGGCTAAGACCCACTGCACAGAGTTGTAGATGGGAAAGAATTAAAGCAGGGACGACCCTACCACCTTCAGCAAGGAACTGCATTAACAGGAAGTTTCCCTTGACCTGCCGTCTTGCTAACGAGGTGGCCAAGCACATGTTCAACTAACCCTGCTCCTTGATAGAAAAAAAAAACACTGAGTGGTTTATGGACGAGGAAGTAAAGGGCACCAGGAAAATCCTTGTCAATCAGTCTCAGTCAGCCTCCTTTCCAGGTTGTCTCAGCAAAGACAAAGCGCTCGAAGAAAGCAGAAGGCATCCATTCGGTCACCTTCTCTATCCCAGCCATCCCCGTGCAGTTCTGTCTCCAGTTTCTAACGCAGGACTCAAAAATATGAAATAGATTGTAGATGATGGATAACTGACAGAAAGAGAACACCTACTGCACAAAGCTAAGAGACCCTGAAGATTCAGAGAAGAAGCATTATGTCCCATTAATACAATTATTAACTTTGCATTAAAAAGGTAAAGGTTCCCTTGCTTAAAGCTAATAGGCGCTGAAGATTCAGAGAAGAATCATTATGTCCCATTAATACAATCAGGGCTTTTTTTGTGGGAAAACCCAGCAGGAACTCATTAGCATAATAGGCCGCACCCAACAGCAGGAACACATTAGCATATTTGGCCACACCCCTGACAGCACAGCTCATTAGCACATTAGGCCGCACCCCCATGTTACCAGAAGTGTGGTTATCCAGCCACACCTACCTTTTGCTTGTTATTCTGTTTACCCTGTTTGTTGTCAAAACCCAGGGCCTTTTTTTGTAGCAGGAACTCCTTTGCATGTTAGGCCACACACCCCTAATGTAGCCAATCCTAATGAGTTTCTGCTGTTGGGTGTGGCCTGTTATGCTAAGGAGTTCCTGCTGGGTGTGGCCAACTTGGGAGCCAGCCGGAACTCCGTTCCTGTGCGTTCCTGCCCCAAAATTGCCCTGAGTACAATTATTAACTTTGTATTAGTAAACCATAAGTTCGGTGTATACTTTCTGTTGCTTGGTTCTCTCACTTCTGCTTCCTACAAAAACATTAACACGTGGGCTAACTCTCCCCTCCACCCTTTGCCACCCAGCGTCCTCACCTGGCAGCAATGCTCCCTCTCAGCTGTGGAGTCTTGTGAGCAGAACTTCCCCTTTGTGAGCTGAGCATTAAAACTGTGAGCGAGCCATTCCGCTACTACATACATTAGTTTGCTCCGGGGCCAACCCTTCCTGAGCTGAGGCAAAAATGGGTGAGCCAGAGGCTAAAAGACTGTGAGCTGGCTCACACTAACTCAGCTTAGGGGGAACAACGCCTGGCAGCGTTACCCATTAAGGCGTTTCATGTCAGAGTCATAAGAACGGCAAGGTAGTTTGCTTTGTGTTTCACAGCACGGAAGTTGAAGCCAAGACTCCTGTGCTCTGTTTTGGACACTTTATATCACTCACATGCAAACCGTTTGGCCTCCCGGTTGGCCTGTGAGGATGCCAATCCCTTCTCGACAGAGGCCATGTGAAATTTGAGCTATAAAGTTAACACGGCTTCATGAACAAGTCCTAGAATATCTGGGTATTATTCATGGTCTCTCAGGACAGCAGTGAGAAAAAGAACGTGTAAAATATCCCATTCTCTTTGAAGAGAAGTGCAGGTAAGGATTCTGTGTTTCTAAGAGTTAGTGCCACAGGCTTCCTTTAAGAGTGGTAGGCAGGGGCGGATTAACCATTAAGCAGACGAAGCACGTGCTTAGGGCGCCAGGGCCAAAGGGGGCACCACAAAGTTGGGAAAAGGGTGAAAAGAAAAAAAATCATGAATGAAGATTTGTTAAAAAAACAAATTGATAAAACTAGTGCACATAGATCGTGGTGCACCCGAGGGTTATCTTCTATTTTTTGTTGGCGAGGTGCAGTGTCATAAAGGTAAAGGTTCCCTTGCTTGAAAGCCAGTCGAATCCGACTCTAGGGTTGCGGTGCTCATCTCTGTTTCAAAGCCGAAGAGCCAGCGCTGTCCGAAGACATTTCCGTGGTCATGTGGCCGGCATGACTAAACGCCAAGGCGCACGGAACGCTGTTCCCTTCCCACCGAAGTGGTCCCTATTTATCTACTTGCAATGTCTTGCTTTCGAACTGCTAGGTTGGCAGGAGCTGGAACTAGAGACGGGAGCTCACTCCGTCATGCGGCACACTCAGATCTCGAACTGCTGAACTACCGACCTTCCACAGCCTGCAGTTCAGCATCTTAACCACTTGAGCCACCACAGTGTCATAGGCTATGTTTAAAAGTAAAATGATGGAGCCAAATTCAGTTGTCATGGCAGTCATTTCAATGTCCCTCTCTGCCCCCTTTTAATTTCAGCCCCATGTAAACATCAAAAATGAAGCGTGTTCAGTTGAGTGGTGCGCAAAAGGAGGGGGGCACCAAGATTGGTCAGTGCTTAGGGTGCCAGTGAGCCTTAATCCGCCCCGGTGGTAGGTCGGAAGCGGAGCACACTGCAGTGCCAGCAGGATCGCTTTAGCATCGCTTTCGTTGTGTTGCTAGCGCGTCTTGGTCTTGTCCTGCTGCCTCATTGCCAGACTAGCTCTCTCTGCTTCTGCAGCCTTACCATTGGGTTCTTGCGGAGAGCTCCCACAGCCCAGCCTCATGACGATGGGTGCGTAAGCCAGTTTCCCCTCCACACAATGCTTCCGGATGCTGTCTAGGATGTTGAGGGGGAAGTGGATGTGCAGGTCACACAGGAAAACAATACTGCTGCCGTCCTGCGGGTATCAAAGAGAGCAGCACAGACAGGCCATGACTGTGTGGCAAACCAGGTGCCAAGCAGCTCTGGGAGCAGCCACCCCTCTTCTCCTCAGTTCTCACCTCAATGGAGTCCACTCCAACCTGCAGTCCTGCAGAGCGTTCAAAGTTCCCCCCACGCTTCAAGTATTGGTACCTGTGAACGAGAACAAGCCGGAAAACGGTGTGAAGACAACAGAGGATGGGAATGAGAAGAAGATGGGGGGATACAGGTAACTGTATGAGTTACCTGGCCGTAACTACCAGGGCCTTCCAAACATCCAGAAGGTGAAATCATTTGGACATAAAGCACCTGAAGGGCAACATTAAACTACAATCAGCCAGGCTACAGATGAGCAAGAATCAGGGCTACCCACCAATCACGGAATTGCAGTGGATTAATCAGCTGTCTTTCCACTAAACATTATTCAGTTAAGTATAAGTAAATCTGCATATTGCCAGTAGTGCGGATATGTGTGTTTCTGAGATGCTGAAAAGGTTGAGACAAGTTATAATTTGACATGCTTACACTACAACTCGTTTTTAGAACAGGAAGAAGAAGAGATTGGATTTATACCCCGCCCTTCACTCCCCAAAGGAGTCTCAGAGCGGCTTACAAACTCCTTTCCCTTCCCCTCCCCACAACAGACACCCTGTGAGGCAGGTGAGGCTGAGAGAGCTCTGACAGACACTGCTCTTTTTCAAGAACAGCTCTTATCAGAACTACAGCTTGCCCAGGGTCATCCAGCAGGTGCAAGTAGAGGAGAGGGGAATGAAACCTGGTTCTCCCAGATTAGAGTCCGCGCACTTAACCACTACACCAAACTGGCTCATCAGTAACATTTTCTTGATCACTGCCTGTTACAGCAACACATCAGAACCAAAACAAAGACACAAAATAAACTCGCAGCCCTGGCTGGGTGATCAGCTGAGGCTGCGATGTTAACACACAGTTTTAATGGAGGTGAACAAATGGAATTCACTTTCAAGGAAACACAGGATCCAGATGCAAAGCTTGTAGTGGATAAATCCTCAAATTAAAACTCGCCAGCCTAAGAATGATATTCACAGAGAATCAGGGCTATTTTTGGGCAGGAACGCACAGGAACGGAGTTCCGGCTGGCTCCCGAGTTGGCCACACCCAGCAGGAACTCATTAGCATAATAGGCCACACCCAACAGCAGAAACTCATTAGGACTGGCTACATTAGGGGTGTGTGGCCTAACATGCAAAGGAGTTCCTGCTCCAAAAAAAGCCCTGGGTTTTGACAACAAACAAGGTAAACAGAATAAGAAGCAAAAGGTGGGTGTGGCTGGATGACCACACTTCTGGTAACATGGTGTGTGTGGCCTAATATGCTAATGAGCTATGCTGTCAGGGATGTGTCCTAATAAGCAAATAAATTTCTGCTGTTGGGTGTGGCCTATTATGCTAATGAGTTCCTGCTGGGCTTTTTCTACAAAAAAAGCCCTGCAGAAAAGTGGGGGGGGGGGGGGGGGGGATTTGGTGTCAGCTTGCAAAGGACAGGCATCACCCAGCGGCTGTAGCTAGTTACACACCTTCTTCATACTTAAGGGGAGCTGTTTCAGCACGGACTGTTCTGTCTTTGGCCTGCACTGAGGCGTTTCTCCTGTTACCTTTGGCTATTCAAGTCTCATTCTCATGCACAGCTGAAAAAACGAGGCCAGTCACACATGACCTTGGAGAGGAAACCAGGTATCAGATTTTATTTAAACGGCCTCCCTCTTTTCCCTAGTGACCAGCTGTACCTTCTATAGGATGCAAAGGAATGTGCTTGGCAAGTATTAGCAGCTGTACTCAGCAAGCAGAGGAGTGCTGGGCTGCTTGAAGACTGAGTTTTGGCCTCTCCTTTCAATACTATGGGCCCTGGTTTATCCAATGCAAACATGCAATGAATACTGCTAATATCAGTGCTTCAGCGATAACACGTTTTTTCTACAGGAGAGGTGACCAATTTGTACCAGCGGCTTTAAAAAATCTTTAATGCCAAAGTGATCTCACAACTATTGTATGGCATCCCGATATGGATCAGAGCTCCTGACAGTACCACCGATTGTGTTCAGCCCAAATTCCTACGTAAAGTTTTGGGCTTGCCAAAGTGTTGTCCCATATGCAGCTCTTTGCTTAGAAACAGGTCTGAATCTAGTCGAAACCAGAGCGTGGCTTATGACGTTTAAATATTGGCTACGTCTGCATTATAATTCTGACCCGGGGAGCCTCATATAGCAAATGCTCTCAGAGTCTAACATGTCAAACTGGCTAACATATATTGAGGGGAAAAATTTAAGGCCATGGGTATATTTTTGGATTCTGTGATCCCATCAGCAGGCGCATTCCAGTTGATCAAACAGAGGATGTTGGATGTTGAGCGTCAGGAGTTACATAGTCTTGCCAACAAAACCTGCTCTCCTCTGAGCTTTGAGATGCCCCTCACTGTCGGTAGGATGGCTTCATATTTATCCTCCCTACAAGCGCCACAACTACGCAGAGCTTTCTCTTTAGCCAGATTCAATAAGACAGCATATGCGGCTAGACATTGCCCTTGTGGATCTGGATGTGTTGAGACGGTCTTACATGTTTTGTTGCGATGTCACTTTTATGTAAATATACGCTCTAAATATCTAAACTCTATATTGGCCAACATGATGGGTTTTTCAGATCCCCATGAAGTTTACAAACTTTTGAATGATTCCTCTGTTGAAGTAACTGAGAAAGTGGCTAAGTGCCTTCAATCCGCCATGCTGCTACGCCAAGAAAAGTACAGTTATAACCTATTATTTTATTCAATGTATTTGTAATACTGTGTCCTACTTGTATACTTTTATAATGACTTTGTTCTACTGATATAGGCCAATAAAGGCTGACTTGACTTGACTGAGTTATACTGACACAGGAAGCACAGTCAGTGAGAAATGGGCTTGCATCACTGCTTGTGTTACCTGGGCAGGTGAGCCTCCTGCAGTGCCTTCTCCACATCCATGTCATCACTATCAAAGTCCACCAGGATAATGTTGAAGTTGGCATCCTTGGTGTTCAAGTATAGGCTGGCCATGTCGGAGATAAACTGCTGTACCCAACGTGCCTGGTTTTTCACTGCAAGATATGAATACAGACGATTGGGCTTTCATACAGCACACTAATCACAGGTGAACAGCTCTGTAATGAAAGGTTCCCATTCACAACATCTATCCTGCCATGGATCCACAGAGGCAGAGGAATAATACTCTCAGCAAGAGCCAGCCCAACCAAGAATTCAGCGATATTCAGCCTTTGACAATTCAATATTCTATTAACAGAGATAATTATATGGGAAGAGATTACAAAGACAGAGTTGTGTTGTTTCCCTTATTACCTACTGCTCAGTACATATTTTGCATTTTCTCACCAAAGAATATGATTTCTGTATATGAAAATATATGATATTTTCAAGACCCGAGTTGCCGCATGACGGAGTGAGCTCCCGTCTCTAGTCCCAGCTCCTGCCAACCTAGCAGTTCGAAAGCAAGAAATTGCAAGTAGATAAATAAGTACCGCTTCGGTGGGAAGGTCACAGCGTTCCGTGCGCCTTGGTGTTAATCATGCCGGCCACATGACCACGGAAACGTCTTCGGACAGAGCTGGCTCTTC